ACCTACATTAGTAATGTGTGCCTGTTTGCCTGCTGTGGTGGAAGGGATGGTAAGTTACTATCAGAAAATGGGGCAGGCAGAGGGTAAGAGCTGTGTGAGGAACTGGGGGGGGGGGGGGGGGACTAATTCAGGCTAAGGGAGTGAGTAGAGCCCTGTGTGTTCTCCAATCCCGAGTGTGTGCCTCTGTGATTCAGCTCTTTATTTTAATCAGGGTTTGTTTATTTTTACTTTATATGTGTGAATGCTGTGCCTGCGTGTTCCCTGTGTGCAGCACCCACAGGGACCAGAAGTGATGTCGGATCCCATGGAAATAGAATTAGACAGTTGTGAGCCACTATGGGGGCTGGAAACAGAGCTCTGGCCCTCTGCTATTCCAGCCAATGCGCTTTACCACTGAGGGTCTCCTTAGTCCTGTGATTCAGCCCTTCAAGCCAAGGCTCAGAGAGAAAACCCAAGCTGAGGCCAGGGAGAGGAGCACACAGACATAGCTCAAGTCTAGATGGGCACACTGACCTAGCTCAGGTCTAGATGGACACACTGACCTAGATCAGGTCTAGATGGACACACTGACCTAGCTCAGGTCTAGATGGGCACACTGACCTAGCTCAAGTCTAGATGGACACACTGACCTAGATCAGGTCTAGAGATGGGCACACTGACCTAGCTCAGGTCTAGATGGGCACACTGACCTAGCTCAGGTCTAGATGGACACACTGACCTAGCTCAGGTCTAGATGGACACACTGACCTAGCTCAGGTCTAGATGGACACACTGACCTAGCTCAGGTCTAGATGGGCACACTGACCTAGCTCAGGTCTAGATGGACACACTGACCTAGCTCAGGTCTAGAGATGGGCACACTGACCTAGCTCAGGTCTAGATGGACACACTGACCTAGCTCAGGTCTAGAGATGGGCACACTGACCTAGTTCAGGTCTAGAGATGGGCACACTGACCTAGCTCAGGTCTAGATGGACACACTGACCTAGCTCAGGTCTAGATGGACACACTGACCTAGCTCAGGTCTAGAGATGGGCACACTGACCTAGTTCAGGTCTAGAGATGGGCACACTGACCTAGCTCAGGTCTAGAGATGGGCACACTGACCTAGCTCAGGTCTAGAGATGGGCACACTGATCTAGCTCAGGTCTAGATGGACACACTGACCTAGCTCAGGTCTAGAGATGGGCACACTGACCTAGCTCAGGTCTAGATGGACACACTGACCTAGCTCAGGTCTAGATGGACACACTGACCTAGCTCAGGTCTAGAGATGGGCACACTGACCTAGCTCAGGTCTAGATGGACACACTGACCTAGCTCAGGTCTAGAGATGGGCACACTGACCTAGCTCAGGTCTAGATGGACACACTGACCTAGCTCAGGTCTAGAGATGGGCACACTGATCTAGCTCAGGTCTAGATGGACACACTGACCTAGCTCAGGTCTAGAGATGGACACACTGACCTAGCTCAGGTCTAGAGATGGGCACACTGACCTAGCTCAGGTCTAGAGATGGGCACACTGACCTAGCTCAGGTCTAGAGATGGGCACACTGACCTAGCTCAGGTCTACAGATGGGCACACTGACCTAGCTCAGGTCTAGATGGGCACACTGACCTAGCTCAGGTCTAGATGGGCACACTGACCTAGCTCAGGTCTAGATGGAAACACTGACCTAGCTCAGGTCTAGAGATGGACACACTGACCTAGCTCAGGTCTAGAGATGGGCACACTGACCTAGCTCAGGTCTAGATGGGCACACTGACCTAGCTCAGGTCTAGATGGACACACTGACCTAGCTCAGGTCTAGATGGACACACTGACCTAGCTCAGGTCTAGATGGGCACACTGACCTAGCTCAGGTCTAGAGATGGGCACACTGACCTAGCTCAGGTCTAGATGGGCACACTGACCTAGCTCAGGTCTAGAGATGGACACACTGACCTAGCTCAGGTCTAGAGATGGGCACACTGACCTAGCTCAGGTCTAGAGATGGGCACACTGACCTAGCTCAGGTCTACAGATGGGCACACTGACCTAGCTCAGGTCTACAGATGGGCACACTGACCTAGCTCAGGTCTAGATGGGCACACTGACCTAGCTCAGGTCTAGATGGGCACACTGACCTAGCTCAGGTCTAGATGGACACACTGACCTAGCTCAGGTCTAGAGATGGACACACTGACCTAGCTCAGGTCTAGAGATGGGCACACTGACCTAGCTCAGGTCTAGATGGGCACACTGACCTAGCTCAGGTCTAGATGGACACACTGACCTAGCTCAGGTCTAGATGGACACACTGACCTAGCTCAGGTCTAGATGGGCACACTGACCTAGCTCAGGTCTAGAGATGGGCACACTGACCTAGCTCAGGTCTAGAGATGGGCACACTGACCTAGCTCAGGTCTAGATGGGCACACTGACCTAGCTCAGGTCTAGAGATGGGCACACTGACCTAGCTCAGGTCTAGAGATGGGCACACTGACCTAGCTCAGGTCTAGATGGACACACTGACCTAGCTCAGGTCTAGAGATGGGCACACTGACCTAGCTCAGGTCTAGAGATGGGCACACTGACCTAGCTCAGGTCTAGATGGACACACTGACCTAGCTCAGGTCTAGAGATGGGCACACTGATCTAGCTCAGGTCTAGATGGACACACTGACCTAGCTCAGGTCTAGAGATGGGCACACTGACCTAGCTTAGATCTAGGACATGAGCACAGTGACACTAAATTCTGAGGAATTCTGAGTTCTATTACAGAGAACTTCTCAAATTAACCTCACCTTAGTGCTGGCCCCTAGTTTGAACATGCCTCGGGTTTGCATCTTACTGCAATATTGTCGAGAGCTTCTTGTCCCAGTAAAGGGGACTCAAATACCAAAAGGCAGAGTTCATCTCTGTCTAAGGAAAAAAGGTCACAATGTTCCTGATAAAACAAACACTAAATATTGTGAAAGTGTCTGGGAAGAGGTCACAGACTATTTTGCTTTCAAGCATAGTGTAAATAAAGGTATTATATCTATAACATGATTTTCAGCAGGCCCTTTGTAGAGCCACCATGTACAGGAAATGGAGGAGGTTAATAAGTAGTTGTCCTGAAAGGCTGGTTACTCCATGTCTTTGTTTGGGTTTCTGTTGCTGCAAAGAGACGCCAATACCACGGAAACTCTTGTGAAGGAAAAACATTTAATTTGGTTGGCTTACCTTTGCAGATGTTTAGTCCATTGTCATCAGGGTGTGACATGAGGTGTGCAGCAGACACAGTGCTGGAGAAGTAGCCAAGTGTCGTACGTCTTGCACCAGGAAGTCAGCTGCAAACTGGGTGGTATATCATGCACATACGAGACCTTAAAACGTGTCCCCACAGTGACACACTCCTTACAGCAAGACCACACCTACTCCCACAAGGCCATATCTCTTCAGAGTGCCATTCCCTATGAGACTGTGGGAGTCAGTTACATTCAAATTGCCACGTCCCTGGGCCCCATAAGTTTGTTAGAATATCATAATGCAAAATGCATTTAGTCCAATTTCTAAAACCCCCATAGTCTATAAAGTCTCTTCTGAGATTCTTGCAATCTCTTGACTGTAATCCCCTATAAAATCAAAATTTAAAAAAAAAAAACCCATCCAACATATGATGACACAGGGTATACATTACCAACCCAAAGCATAGGGAACGGAACATAATGAGGAAATATTGGACCAAAGCAAGACCTAAAACCAGCTGGATGAACTCTTATGTCACAATGCTCTTCAGCTCTCCAACTCCCTTTGGCTTTGTTGACGGAAACATAGTTCTTTCCCTGGGGCGGGTTGCACTCCCTGTTAGCAGCTCTCCTTGGCAGGTACCCCACAACTCTGATACCCTAACATCTTGGGGCCTCCAAGGCAATCCAGGCTTCACCTTCACATCTTCGCGCAATGACCTCTCCAGGCCTCCATTCAGGGGCACCTCTGATATGTGCCTGGTCTCAGAGGCTTTCCTTGGGCGTAGAGGTGAATTCTATAACCCCTTTCTTTTATCCTTGACTCCAAAGCCAGAGCCACATGGCCAAAGCTGCCAAGTTCTGCTGCTTGCTGTGGCTGGAGCATGGCCCTCTTGTTCAATTGCATCTTCAGAAGCTTTCTGTTTCCCGTCATTTTCCTCACCAATAGGGAGCTTCTGAAGGATTTAGTTTGGCTTACACATATGACAGGGTAGTTTAACAGTGTGCATGGTGGAGAGAGAGCCCAGGAGCAGCTCGGCTGGCAGAGCTGTACGACTCGGCTGTCCCAGTCAGACACCAGTGCTAGAAGGTTCCGGGAGAGTCATGGATATGTCGTCCACCTCAGAAGGCAGAAGAAGCTGGGGTTTGATGGCAGAGGGAGTCTGATTGACAGAAGCAGGAAGGAGGCTGCATGCGCTCATGTGACAAGAAGTGAATGTAGGCAGGCTCTTCCCTAACCCTTTCACTACCCAGTCACTTGTTGGAAAGTGCCGCCAACTCAGAGACAGGGTCTGCCACTCTGCGCTCCACCTTTCTGAGGGGGCCCTACAGGCACCCCTGAAGGCCTGCTCCATAGCTGATTCCAGATCCAGTTGACAGTTGAGACTGTCAGTGAGTGCCTTGGCTGTTCTATGTACGAGCCGTCTCCCACGCTTACCTTGCTGCTCCAGGAGCATAGGGGCATTAGCTACGCGTGTTATTGCTGAGACTAAAAGCCCCGTGAGAGAAACCAAGGGGAGGAGGGGTGTGTCAGTTTATAGTGCCTTCTGGAAGGACGTCCCGGTGACAGGAGCCAGCCTCCAATTAGGAAGCAGAGTGATGAACACCTGTCTGTGCTCATCTGGGTTTCTTCTTTTTCTGTGTAGAGCCATAGCCATAATGGTAGTGCCCATGTGTGAGCGGGTGTCCTTGCCACAGTTAGTGTAATGTATACAATCCCTTGCAGACATGCCGATCTAAATACACATAGGTTGAAGGCTAAAATTAACCACTACGGGCTCCTAGATGTGGCCCGAAGCTTGTGTGTTGGTGTTGATCCTGCTGGGTGTTTGTGTCCAGGATGCTTTGGTGGAGCTGGACTGCTGTGTGGTAGGGTGAGTATCACCTGGGGCTCTGAGTTGCAGTGATGACCCCTAGGAGACAGGGGTCATGTGACAAGGAGAGCTGGGGCTTGAGGTGGGATTCTTGAAGGATGAGGAAAGATGTGCAGGAGCGTGTACTTCATCTAAGACACACCAGAGGGAGTGAGGTGTGTGAAGGGAGCAGCTACATTGCTGTTACTGCAAGTACTTATTTACGGAGGTGCAGAAGACGGGGATGTGAGATGGTAAAAAAAAAAAAAAAAAAAAATAGAGAGCGCCAGAAGCCGCGTGGTGCAAACACTTGTGTCCCAGAGGGAAGGGACCAAGCTTTAAAGTGACAGCAATGGGCATGAGAGCCGGCGCAGCCAGTAGAGCCCTTCTGGTGCAATCAGGGTCCAGGTCAGAGTTCACCATCATGATCCCAGCACTCGGCGAAGGCAGGAGCCACGGGGCTTGAGGGCCAGTCAGTCTCGATGAATTGGTGAGTTTCACATGCACTGATTGAAGTGTCTCAAAAAATAAAGAGGGAAGAGCATTGAGGAATGTATGTATTCACACACACACACACATACACATATGTGCATACATGTACACACACAGACACACACATGCACACGCATACACACTCACACACACAGACTCTTTCACACACACATGCACACTCTCATACACACATACACTCACACACACACTCTCACATACACACAACACATACACACTCTTTCACACACATACACATATGTGCACACATGTACACACACAGACACACACACTCACACACACATGCACACACATACACACTCACACATGCAGACTCTTTCACACACACATGCACACTCTCACACACACATACACTCACACACAGACACACACACACATACACACTCTTTCACACAGTTACACACACAGTTACACACACAGTCACACACACATTCTCACACACACAGTCACACACACAGTCACACACATACACACTCTCTCTCACACACACATACATACACACACATACACACTCACACACAGTTACACACACACACACACACACACACACACACACACGGCAAACGCCGGGTCACTCTGGTTCCTGGGAGCCGCATGGTTAAACACGCTTCCTTACGTCTTTACCTTCCTCCTGTCTTCGCTCACACTTCCTCAGACTCTTCTTGAGCGTGTCCCTGGTAGCTTCCGCCTCGCTGAGCTTGGCGAGCCACGCCTTCTGTCACACCGTCTTGGGCAGCAGCAGGTGCGGTGGCCTCTGTCTGCTGCAGAGAACCTTCGTGTCCTGGGCTTCGTGACATCTCACTCCCAGGCAGCCTCGGTCTCTCCAGGGATCTCCTTCCTGCCCGTTGGTTGTTCTCCAAGTGTGTGTGAGCCACAGGACTGGGATCCCCTCTCCCCCTCCCCCTCCCTCCTCTCCTCCCTCCCCCCTTCTGTTTCTGTAGAAACATCCCCATCCGTGCTCACCTTGGTGGTTTTACCTCGTTATTTCTCTGCTGAAATGCTTTGCTCCCGGACAGCACGGGTCATTCCTTGTCTTCAGATTTCGAACCCAACAGCAATTTGCCCGAGAGCTGCTTATGACTTCCCCACCTTCCACCCACTCTCTGACACACTAACTGTACCCACTTCATAACATTTACCACCACCGACAACATCCTTACTGCGCTGTCTAGACCATCACTGTGAGAAACGAGGACCTTGACTGATTTGTTCCCTGGAAAAGTCTCCGACACACAGCATCCATTTGTTGAACCATGGAATGAACTGTCATCCTGGACTCAAAATGATGGAGGGCTGGGAAAGACAGTGAGCCATTCAGAGAGCAGCTTCCATGACCTACCTCAGAAATCGTTAGAGCCTGGCTGAGGCAGTGGCCCTGGGGTGTGACTGTGTGTGAGAGAGAGAGTGTGTATGTGTGTGTGTGACGGAGCTATGATGGATTCAGAGATGATAAGATGCCTGGCACTCACCCAGGCTGTGAGAGGAGGAGTGTGGCTGGTGTAGCTGCATTGGAGGAGCAGGTGCGCGCGGGCTTGGGCTCCCAGAGGCGGGGAGGCTGGGGGCCCCAGGAAGGGCAGAGAGGCTCATGCAATTGAAGTGCTCACTTGGGGAAGCCTGGTCATTCTAGGTACCTACCAGATGGGTAGAAAGAAGTCCAAATGTACATTTGAAGCTCTGTGGGACAGTGTGTATTTCTTGTAGCTAAATAAACTTCCTAAGTACAGGGAACTCTGGAAGAATATTAATTCTTACGTTACCTCATCTAAGTAACAGTCCCAGCAGGTGCCCCCTGGAGCCTGTGCATGTGCAATAATGTGTTCCCTCAGCTGGCTCCCCAGTTACTCCATGTGCTTCCCATGTGCTTCCCATGAGGGGTGACTGAGAGTTCATTCCCGCTGCCCTAGGGTGACATTTAAATCCATATGTGCTCCCCTCTCCTCCCCTCCCTCCCTCTCTTTGTCCCCTGAGGGGACACCCTTCCCTCCCTCCATCCCCTCCCTCATCCCCTCCCTCCATCCCCTCCCCCTCCCTCATTCTCTCCCTCCCTCCATCCCCTCCCCCTCCCTCATTCCCTTCCTCCCACCATCCCCTCCCCCCCTCCCTCATCCCCTCCCTCCCCTCCCCCTCCCTCATTCCCTCCCTCCCACCATCCCCTCCCCCTCCCTCCCACCATCCCCTCCCCCTCCCTCCCTCATTCCCTCCCTCCCACCATCCCCTCCCCCTCCCTCATCCCCTCCCTCACACCATCCCCTCCCCCTCCCTCATTCCCTCCATCCTTTCTGCCTCCCATCTCTCTATAAATAATAAACCTGCTGCTGAGCCAAGCCACACATGGGCCCATACCCAGGGTCTGATGTTAACTGAGCCATTGCCCTGCAATGTTGCCACTGAGGGGTGGTGATTGCCACTAACAAGCGGACAAAGAGACTGATGTATAAAATCAGATGCAGACGCCATCATTCACACTGACAGATCCCACTGCCGAGCAGACCTGTTGTTCATGTTGCCCTTCACTAGGCAAACAACCCTAGGAACTGATGATCCAAATGCCACTTGAGGAGGGAGTTACAGAGTGTCTGAACGTTGCTCTTGAAGCCTCTGGTCGGTAGAGCCCTCGTCGGATCTTGGGCCCATGGGACAGCATAACCTGGATAGTGCCTGGGTGGCGGAGCAGTGGCCCCTGCGCATCCCTTTATTCCTATTAGAAAGTTCAGTGTGTGTTTAGGTGCCTACCCTACCAGGAAGGGTTTTAAGGTTACTTACGTTCAATTTGCTACACCCATTGTTTTACAGCGTCTGCGGTGACTGTTAGCCTCGTGTGTTCAATCATGTATCAAGTTCCCAGTTTAGTTCAGAAGGCAATGCTGTTTGTCGTTTTCATTCTTTCTAACCATGTTTAAGGTTGGTGGGTTTGATGGGGGATTCCTTCTGTACTCTGTGAATATATGTTTCTCATATTGATTGATGAATAAAGCTGTTTCGGCCAATGGACAGGCAGGATGTGGTCAGGAAGGAAGTATAGGCCAGGCTACCAGGCTAGGAGACTTCTGGAAGAGGGACACAGAGAGGGAGTTGAGGGGATACCTTGTAGCTGCAGAGGAAGCAAGAGACCAGAGCATCACCAGTAAGCCAAGATCACATGGAGATACATAGATTAATAGAAATGTGTTAATAAATAAGAGAGAGCTAGCCAATAAGAAGCCTGAGCCAGTGGTCAAACAGTTTATAATTAGTATAGGCCTCTGTGTGTTTATTTGGGACTAAAGGGCCGAGGGACCAGGCGGGACAGAAACTTCCATCTACATGTGGCGCCCAATGTGGGGGTCAGAAAACTTCACCTACACGTGTTTCTCTCTGTTGAGGCAATGCCTCACACTACAGCCCAGGCTGGCCTAGAATTTGCCCTATAATCCTAACAGCCAGGCTAGTCCCAGATGGACAACAATCATCGTGCCTTAACTTCTTGAGTGCTGAGACCACAGGTGTTCATCACTGACTAACAAGGCCACTTTGTACTTTCCCAAGCTGTAGGGAAGCCGTGACATGATGTCATAGCCCTGTGAAGGACCCAGCCCTCCTGACCCTGGCCCAGCACACTTGTGGTCCTGCAGCCATGCTGTTTGTAATCCACAGACGTGGTCACAGTCTAGTTGTTAGTGCCTTTTGCCCTTCTGTAAATCTATGCTGTCTTGTCTTGCACAACCTGTGTTAGGTAGGAATTTCCCTTGGAGGACTGGGTGTGTCCGATCCACAGTTGTGAGGAGAACTAGCTGCGTACGTTGTTTGGGGTGGTGATTTTCACTTTTCTAGATGTACTGTTGGTGAGAGGGCTCTTCTCGGGAGACTTGCTCTGTTTATAAAGAATCGGGGTTATTCTGTGGCTGCTCTTAAAAAACGCCAAGATTCCTTTTAAAATTAATCATGTGTTGACACGTATAATTGCATTCATTTATAGGCTGTAAAGAGATATTGTGAATTATGAATACAATGAGAGGTAACTAAATCAAACCAGTTAACATGCCCATCAGTGTAACTGTTTAACATTTTTTGTAGCGATGGATTTGAAATTTACTCTTAGCGATTTTGTCTGCAATGGATCTAAACAAATTCACACATTGCTTCTGTCTGAAATGCATGCCCTTTGGTCATTGTGCCCATCGTCACCAACAGCTCTCGGCTCAGTTCCTACCACTGTACGTGCTGCTTCTGCTAGTTTGGTTGCTCAGACTCTACACATAAATAAGCAGATGCAGTATTTGTCTCTGTGCTGGGTTCATATTACTTAGGATGGTGCTCTCTGATCTGCTCACGCCACAGCAAACAGTTGGGTTTTCTCCTTTTCAAGGCTGATTAGCATTCCACTGTGCACACGCATCACACTTCATTTGTCCATCCGTTCATCTATTAGCCATCACTTAGACCACATAACTTGGCCTTGGTAAATATTACCACAGTGCACATGGCAGTGCAGGCATTTTTAAATACAGATTGACTGCAAATGCGGGTGGATACTCAGAACTGGGATTTGTGGATGACGTGCTCATTCAGTTCTTAATTTCCAGGCCATCTCACTTTCCATAATGTCTCTATCAATTTGCATTTTTACCAACAGAAGACACTGGCTCCTTCTCCTACGCAGCCTCCTCAACACTTGTCCTGTTTTGTCTTCTTTGTAACAACCATCTAGTGGGCGTGAAAGGATATCTCATTGTGTTTTTAATTGTTTTCATACATGGCTGGCTATTTAAATATCTTCCTTTGGAAATTACTGTCCATGTTCGCTTGTCCCCCGAATGTCCAGATTTTGTTAATCTGCATCTTCTTCTGAGGTTTTGTTTTCTGAAGTAAAATGAAACTCAGATCAACCCCATCTCAGCATCCCGAGTTGGCACTTCTTGCGGAGAGGAAGCTGTAGAGATTTGAGCTTCATTTTTTTTTTTTTTTTTTTTTTTTTTTTGTTCAGGCTCAAATCACAGATCAAACAAATGTTCATAACGCTTTAATGATTTTTATCTTGACATGAATAGGATGAGACAGACTAAACAAGCTGTGCCTTGATACAGCACACTTGGCTAAAACAACACTACACGTCACCACCGTGGACACCTCAGCAGAGGGTTCCCACAGAACATAGCCTTGACTGCATGCCGTGGTCACGCAGGTACTCAGAGAGCCCGGTGCTCATTCCCTACTGAGGCATCTGGAAGCTCAGGCCGTACTGCAGGCTTCTACGATGGAGTGGGGTTTCAAGTAAGAGCTTCAAAGCCCTGAGGTCCAAACAGGCTTCACTGGCTCATGGTGCCGGTTTTGTCCGAGTGTGAGCGAAGCCTCCCTGGGGCTTTTCTTCGTCGTCGTCGTCTGTGTGTCCCATGTTTGGTGTCTTCCTCCTCGTTTCTTTTCCTCGACCCTCACTAATCTGTAGAGTGTATTCTACGATAAGAGTCACATTTGGGGCGGTGGCAACACAAGTTTGTGTTGCCCTCCTCCTTAAGGAACTGGCACGTGCTACAAGGGACAGACAGCTTACAAGAGTTTGCAGTTCAGCGAGGGAAGAGAATCTGGGGTGGGGTGACAAAAGGAGCCCTCTTCAGTGGGGTCTTGTGTAGCTTTGGTCCCAAAGATCAGTTTTCACAGATTATCGTGCAGTACACATCCACTGAGCATCTATTAAGCTGCAGCAGTGTGATGGCTTCAGACGGTTCCGCAGTTGGTAGAAGGTGGGCCATGAATGGAGACACCGGT